CCTGCCCTGCGGCCGCGGCCCTCCTGGCCATTTAGGGGTGTGGTGGGAGGGGCAGGGGCGCGCTCCAGGGCCACAGACGAGGCAGAATCGGGGACCCTGGGAGCCAGAAGGGACTTCAGAGGGCCAGGGAGTTCAGGGGCCCTTAAAATCATTAAGCCTGGCAGGGGAGGGTCTGTTGGCTGACTTTTAAATGATTGTCTGGGTCGCCCAAAAAGGAGGGAGACAGAGTCCCTCTGTGCTGGCACCGGGCTCAGCGTCCCTCCCCCGGAACACCAAGGGTTCTCAGACTTCCTCAGAGCCCGGGCCTCGCAGGTCTCCCCACGGACGCCACAGCGCAAACGCGAACCGGGCGAAATCGCCGGTCTCTGGACCACGTCTGAGCTGTGAAAACCACAGTGTCCTGTTCAGCCTGAGAGACGGCACCGGGCAAAGCAGGAGTCCAGGCTCCTGGGGGCGGCTGGGGGGAATCAGCAGGTCTGGCACGGGCGGTGGGTGGGGGCCGCGCCGCAGGTGAGCAGGGGCCGAGGAGCCTCCGGCCGGACCGGACCGCTAACATCGATGGCGGTGCGATGGCCTGAGGGCCACTTTCAGGGAGGGCGACCCAAAGCCAAGGACTGGAGAAGCTCTTGGAAGGGAGGATGAAGCCCTGCATTTTTGCCAAATTGTATCTGGGCTACGAAAGCCCAACCCAGAGACGTCGCATCGGCTGGTGTGCAAACCTCATCTGCAAACCTTATTTCGGTGAAATGACAGCATTCCCAACACGCAATCCAGCCGTCGATTATTCCAACAACAAGCAGAGAACCAGCGCAGGCACACGTCTGACTAAAACCGTGTCAAGCAGGAGATAAAATGAATGTGTTTTTGCAGTTTTCCCTCTCATTTCAAGATAGAATTCCAATAAAGACTTCTTTGTTTTCACCCTGAAAATTAGGTCCTGGTTTAAGTGGCTTCTCTTTAAGATGAGAAGGGCACCGTCCTTGCTGGCGGGGCTCTGAGCCACGCCCACTCGATCTCCCCATTCCTCGACAGATGGGAACCCACATCTGCTTACACGCCTCAGCTGACAGGGAGCTCACCACTCCACAAGGAAGCCCACTCCATCTCTGACGCCTCTGACTCTTAGACAGCTATTCCTTGTGCCGACGTGACACGTACTCCCCCGCCCCTCCTCCACACGGCTGAGGAGCCCCTTAGTGACTCGGGGTACAAGGCCTGGGTTGCTCTTAGCTCTGAGCCGATGGGCAAGTATACGATGCTCTTCCTTCATCAGTGGAAGGGATCCCTCCTTCCCTTTCTTTTCTGTGAGCATTAAATGACTAAATGACACACTCTGTAGAGAGGCACTTGTAATAAGTAGCTAATATTAGCTTCCCCATGGGTGTGGCTCTGTGCTCTGGGGCCATGCGAATGTCCGGGGTGGGGAGGGGGTGTTGAGGACCATCTGAGAGGAAATGCGTCTTGTGGACTTCCTGGAGGGGGACACAGTCACTTATCCGAGACACCAGCTCTTTCCCAGACATTCACCATGGCCAGCACATCTGAGGAGTTAGGAGGTCAGGGCGGGGTGCAGAGGAGGCCGGAGGCCCTGCATCACCCCAGCATGGGTCTCTGAGTCCCCCGCCCAGTGAGGAGCCCATGACCCTGCTTTGCCAGCTCAGCCTCTGTCTCCCCAGGCGCAGCCTCCATCCCCCAGACCAGTACGTTCTCAGACCCCGGTGTGGGGTCACTCACCGATGTCCTTGGCTCTGACGGCCACCGGCCTCCGGAGCTCAGTGACGAACTTTTTGGCATCCAGGCGGATCTCAATGATGTTGTTCAGCAGCGCAAACAGTGGGGCCAGCGGGAAGGATGCCACGAACAGGGTGACAAAGCCGAACTGGATGACTGCAGACAGAGGAGGGGGCGGTCAGCACGCGTGGCCCCTGCCCCAGGCCAGCGGGACCCCGCCAGTTGGTGCCCTGCCTCCCTGGGCGGACTGTGGGGGGAGTCCAAGTCTTGCGCTGGACCTCAGTGTTGACTGCTGAATAATGGACGTGTACTTACTCATACGTCTGGTTTTATAAGATCACCAGTAACGCAGGGAAACGGTGCCTGTGAGCACGAGGGTCCAGCCTCAGTCACCCCGTGTCCGGGTTGGGAAGAGGCCCTAGCGTAGTGCTTCCTGGGGCCTGGGGGACTGGGGGCACAAATGCCTCTCCAGCAGCACCCAGTGTCCCCTTCCATCGGGCCTCGGGGAGCTGGGCAGGGCCCACAGTCCACTGTCCTGGACAATTTTGTCTGTCGGCCTCACATCCCCACCCTTGGACCTCGGACGCTGCAGCCAGGGCAGGGCCGGCTCCCCAGGAGGTCAGGGAAAGGTTGCTGAACGGAAGCGAGTGGGGGAAGCAGGTCTGGGAACTGCACAGCCGGGCCCCGTCCAAGGGTGCTCGCTGCCAGGCGGTAAACAAGGAAGCCGGCAGAATGTCACCCCATGCCTGGCGGGCTGAGTGTGACCATTGTTAGCGCGGCGGGCGGGGGCTCCGTGTGAGCCCTCATCCCTGGGCCACGTCGCTGGCCTCCTGCGCACCCCATGGCAGCTCCGCGCGGGATGCTCCTGCAGACACTGGCCTGGAGGTGATGGAGGCCATTGGATAAGCTTGGCGTGTGGGCCAGGGGGCTGCTGAGTCCCAGGGCTGTGGGCTCCTGGCTTCTGAGTGATACTGCCTCCTCCCGCACAGACAGGGAGGGCAGCTGGAGATGCAGGTGGGGTGGGGGCGGGGGTAGGTCATTCCCACCTGGGCCCTTTCGTCCATCTATCCATCTGTGCACTCTGGGCGCCCCGCCGGAGTCGGCCTGGAGGAGGACAGTGTGCCCCGTGTGCTGGGGATGTGGGGCAGGCACGGGGTGGGCCACTCCCTGGGTGGGCAGGAGGAGCCTGTCCCAAGAATTTCATTTCACCAGACCCCAAAGGACCGTGTCTTTCCAGCTACCATTAAAAACTGAAATCTGGAGAAACGAACCACCGCGGTCTCTTAACCCATCACAGGCTGCTTTTCCTGGTGTCCATCCTCCCACAGGGGTCAGGTGGCAGGCAGCGGAGACCTCCCAGACCCATGCTGAGTGTGAGCCAGTGGGGAGCGGCCGGCCTCCCCGGGCCCACAGGGCACGGAGCTGCCCGCCCACCTCTGGTTCAGCCCAGAGTTGATTCCAGGAGAAAACAGAGGCCGTTGTCCGAACACCACGGTCTCTTGTTTTCAGTCCCGGAGTCATTTCCTTCCCCGTTGGGGAAGCTGGGAGCAACTTCTTGGGACCAACTCCGCCAACAGGGGTGTGCAGGGAAGCGCCTGTGATGCAGTTAAACGGAGCGGCTCCTGCCACCCAAGGTCACCCTGCCCCTGCCCACCTCACCCCGCAGAGCAGTCCTTGGCTGGTTCGTTTGCCCAGGCGCCTGTGAGAAATGGAGAGACCTGGGTCTTACCCCACATAGATCAGGGATGGGCCCGGGAACCAGCATTCCAGATAAGCTGTCCATGGTCGGGGGTACTACACTCTGGGATTCCTCTGCATGAGACTTTCTGACTGCCGTCAGTCATCCATTCACTCTGTGAACACATACTGAGCACCCACTGCATGCCCAGACCTGTTCTAGGTGCAGGGAATATGGCAGTAAAGAGGAAAAAACCCCAAAGGTCTGCTTTCATAGACCTTCAATTCTACCGGTGAGACAGACGGAGAAGGAATGAAGGAGTGATGTGTACTAAAGATGTCAGCTGTGATGAGAAATATAAAGGGGGGGCTGCTCTCTTTAAACACTGCGTTTGGGAAGACCCCACTGCTGGGGGACATTCTGAGCACAGCCCTGGAGAAAGGGAGTGAGTGATGCAGGTACTGGGGGAGAGCATTCCAGGCAGGCCACAGCTAGTGCAAAGGCCCTGTGGCAGGTGTGAGCTCTGTGTGTCTGTGAAAAGCCAGGAGGCCAGCGTGGCCCGTGTGGAGGGAGAGGGAGGAGATGGGGCCAGGGAGGCTCCAGGTGGCTGCTGTGCAGGCCACACCTTGCGTTTTTTTCTCTCTCCCTTCTCCCACCCCAGGAGTCTTGGGCCACCTCTGGGCATCCTCCCATCCAGTGACATGGCTGCAGGTGACTTGGCTCCATCCTGGGTGTGTTCCTCTCTGGGCAGGGGCCGCAGGGAGCCCCAGGCCGCTGGCTGGCCTGGTTCCGTCCTACCCGGGCTCGCAGGGCAGGATGCTCCCCCCCACTCACTCATCTCCATGTACTCCGGGGTGAGGCCAGCGAAGGGCTCCAGCGTGTAGTCCACCTCGTACCGCTGCTTCCTCTTCACGCACTCGTCCCGGTCGGAGGGGCTCTGGTGCTTCAGCCTCAGGTAGCGGATGAACTTCTTCATTTTCCTGGAGAAACGCGGCGTTCCCGGGTCAGGGCTCTGGGAAGGCGGGCCTGGGGGCTCGGGAGCTGTGGTTTGCAATTCTCGAGCCGTCGGGGTTTAAAGGCCGAACTGGTGCATTTGTGATGATTTCCCTGGTCCTGACCCCCAGGACAGGGGTCAAGCGTCATCACTTAGTTTGCAACAGAGGGAACTGAGGGGCAGGGAGGTCACTGCCACCTATCAGCCTGGGGAGGCCCTGCAGGTGCAGGGGTCTGGCTGGGCCCGAGTGGACTCGGGGGGCGTCCTTGGGGAGGGAACGGGACGTGATTCGCAAAGGGCACAAGGTAAGGAAGCAAGTCCCCAGGACCTCCATCTGCCCCCCCACGGGGGCAGGCATGCAGACTTGGGGGCACCCACTGGTACCCCACATCCTCAGCCAGCTGGGGACAGGGGGTCATCCTGGCCCTCTCCTCTCCTGGTCTACCACCATCTTCCCCGCTGTCCTCACCACCTCCCTGTTTCTGGTGCCCCACCCTGGTACAGGCCCCGCATCACCTGTCGCCCAGGCCGCCCAGGTGCCCTGAGGCCCAGCCTCCCCTCGCTCCTCTGGGACCCAAGGCCAGGCGCTACTCACGGGATGCCGATCTCAAACAGGTTGTTCTGGATGAGCTGCTTCCCCAGCATGATGATGCTCAGCTGGATGCAGAGCTCCATCAGGCAGCCGCCCGGCGCGCACTGCAGCAGAGAGCAGGGCTTCAGTGGCCAGGCCTGCCCGCCCACCTGC